CTGATCCAACCTTGAGCCGGTGAGATTTGAACAGCCGAACTGCAGATAACAGTCAGCTGAAGTGGCTGCAGTACTTCACCCTAACCACTGCACCACTTCGGCTCTCTTAATTAGTATTGTTTTAACTTTATTTCCTGCCCCCTTTAGGATTTTTGGAGAAAAATAATGATCTGCTTTACCGGAACCTCAAAGAGGTAAGAATATTTTGGATCCGTTGAGGTGGGCTTCTCTCTTGTAGTCAAGGGATAGGAACAGAAGTAGAAAAGGTGCAGATGAAGGAAGAGTTGCAGGAATTCTTAAGAGTGGGTGGAAAGGAACGGATGTTACGGATTCTGCGACCTGACGCTTTGACCTGTTCCAAGGTGCTGTGCAATTCCAAAAACGGCATCTTGAAAGAATGCTTCCGCTCATCGGAGTTGCACAACCGGAGGAGGCCAGAGACGGTGAGTGCTCTCCTCGGACACGATGGAGAGGAGCTCTTGAAATGTTTTAGCTCAGAGCCAAGCAATAGATTGGCCCTTTGTAGAACTGGGGGGAGCGTCTTTCAGCAGAGGAGAAATTTCTTCAGTGGAAAGATTGCATTCCTTGCTGACGATTAGTAATCTGGGACAAGGTGCCCATGGAAACGGGGCATGCAGTGGTCCTTAGCACACCATGTCCAGAGTGCACACGACGCACAACATAATTGGGGGGTCACATTTAACTGCTTGGGTAAAGTTTGCAGCTGCACCACTTCCATGCGTGTAACTGAGGCCTTCTGGCACGCCGCAGGTTGCAGCGCAGTTCAAAGCCAGCCTGTCCAGTTTGATAGACATCCTGATGTCCAAGGAACCCTCCTACATCCGGTGCATTAAACCCAACGGGGACAAAGAACCTGGTATGGAGACCTCTGGGCTGGACAGTGGGGGGGGGTGCTGCACAACTTTCCCCCTGTGGTGGCTTCATTGATCTGTCCTGAGGGCAACCTGAGATCTGGGCTGCCCTGAAAACAGCAGCTAACATTTCTCATCCCCCCCCTGGAGAAACCAGAATTCCTGGAGTTCAAAACCTAAGGAAGTGCTGGAGGAGAAGCCGCCAGGGGCTTCCTGTCTCAGGCCAGAGGGGGGGTGGCGGATGGATGTGAAGATCCATTCCTCTTGGAGCTCTTCTGCAGCCAAATGTTTTGGTGCCTTTGGGCAATAGAGTTTGGACCCAGAGAAATGAGTAGGTCTTAACCCACGAAGGGGTGGCGGAAGAGTGCGAGGGCCCTGAATGGGCTGCCGTTTTCTTCCGCAGACAAATTCGACGACTCCTTGATAAGACACCAGGTGAAATACCTGGGTTTAATGGAGCACCTTCGGGTGAGGAGAGCCGGCTTCGCTTACCGTCGGAAGTACGAGCACTTCCTGCAAAGGTGAGGTTCCTCTCCCCTCCCCCCACCCCACTCATTGCCATGGCTGCAGTGGGAACTGAGAACACAAGAGGGAGGGCCATCTTCTCCCCGCCCCCCCTCCAGCTCCAAAACATTCTGCTGGAGATTGGATACCTGACTGGCCCCCCCTTTGCATGTTAGGAAGACGGAGGTCACCTGTGGAGCTGTGTGGTTGTGCAGCCCATCCCTTCGCCGTGGGGCTTGTGGAGGGGAACTGGGATTGGCCTCCTCTACACAAGCTTGACCCACAATCAGGATTTCTGGGGAGGGAGAAGCCGGTGGGTGAGCTTAAGTTCTGTGCTGGTCAGGAAAAGGTAATGGGTCTCTGGGATGCCTCCCGCGGCTTGGAACCCTTTTCCCCTGGCTGATTCCAGGTACAAGTCTCTCTGCCCGGATACCTGGCCCCAGTGGAGAGGCCCTGCCGCCAAGGGAGTGGAGAAGCTCATCCATCACATCGGCTACAAGCCCGAAGAGTACAAGATGGGAAGGTAGAGGAGGAGACGCCTGCAGTTTTTTGGGATCGGTTCGTGCAGCTGCTGCCCATTAAAATGCACCTTCTGTCTCCTCCAGGACCAAACTCTTCATTCGTTTCCCGAGGACGCTGTTTGCCACCGAAGATGCCTTTGAACATCGGAAGCACCTCCTGAGTATGTGCCTGGGCCTCTTTGGGCCACGCCCAGGGAGGTCTTTTTCTACCTGAGCGTTGTCTTGACGAGGAAGCCATCCTCTGGAGGCCCTGGGCGGCCTCCTCATAAATGCAGCGTCCTTCTGAGGCTGCACGAAATCCCCGTTGGGCTATTTAGCCCTTCTCTTCCTTCCCTTCTCTTGGGCCAAAGAGAGGCCTCCAGGTTTAGCACTGCAAGCTCAGGTCTGTTTAGGATTAATTTTGGGGTGGTCTTCTGTGCATTAAGATGGTCCCGTGCTCCATCTCTCACTGAAGAAGCCAGGTAGCTTTGATGGGAAAGATAGCAATAGCAATAGCAATAGCAGTAGACTTATATACCGCTTCATAGGCCTTTCAGGCCTCTCTAAGCGGTTTACAGAGTCAGCATAT